TTATCCAGTGGTCTGTCCAAACATCATATGTATTTATGCTAAACACATTTCTGTTATTGATTTGGACCTCACATTGGTGCGATTTGTTTTGACTGATCTCATTTTTTGTACTTTCTAGTGTGTCTAGTTTGACGTTAACTTTTATACGTAGATGTACTCTACGTGAATGATCTAACACGCTTCTGATAAACGTCATTTTTCCAATACAGTGCCGCAAATAAATAAATCATTATGATAGTTTAAATCATAAACCATTGTAATTTCGGAAGCACAGAGTGTTCATTTCAACCTGGTATGAGGATCCTTAGAAGTGCCCACTGGCATCCCTGCATGCAGATATTTAATCTAGGATATTCATTCTCGATTAACTGTTGTAAGCAATCGTTATCCATTGCATGAGGCGGACAATAGTCTTAGCTTTCCCAGATCTTGAGTGGTAATCTAATTTACACTACGAAAAATCTAAAATCTCAACAAATAACCTATATTAATTGATTAATAAAATCAAATCATACACATCTTCTGTCACACCAGAAGAATATAAATGTATAAGCAAATACTTTCTAAATGAAAAGAATAACATTGAAAATAGTGATTTATCACTAGCAAGTAAGTTATAAATTCATACGTACAAAAGCATAGTTTAATTGAACTTAAATCAGTAACAATCAAACGCGTAAAGTCATTTTTTCTTGTAGAAAATAAATATATTTGTTTAGTATACAGTTTTTTTTTTGGTATTGTGAAATGTCTGAAAAAAAATCTTGCAAATATGTAACCACAAAAAAACCTATTCCCTTATGAGCTATTTGTCTTTGTGCATTTTATTGTAGTAATTTCGAATTATTTATTATCAGTAGTATATTTAGTAATTTACTGGCATTTTGCTTCATTGAATAAACTCAGTGGAGTGAATGTTATCAGTTTTGTATGTTCGGGAAAATATTGTCTCACTAATTGAAATTGAATATTTTCTGAAATCTCTGGGAATCATTCAATACACCGTAGTACATACTCACTACTAGGGGGTCGTATACTCAAGTGAACCAGCTATCTAATATCTACTTTTCTATCTTTGTCCAACTATAATTAATCAGCAATGTATATTATAAAATTAAATTTATTGAGCTTACAGTTAGCAACTACTCAAGAAAATGCCAAGCTACTGAATTCGGTTTATCGCGTGCTAGTGAGTTATTTAATACGTAATGTGTTAACATTGGATTAAACGAAAATATATTTGCGTATTAGTGTTACATTCATCTAAATTCATTCAATAATAATAATGGCCTTAAAGCTGTGGTTTCGATCATGTAGTCGTTTCAGTGAATACTAACTAATTTTGACTTATCAAAGCATATATAAACTGGAAAAATCAATGAAATAGGCGCTTGTTTGGAAGCAGCCTTTGTGAATCAAAAGACGATGATATCTGTCAAGACGTTGGACTTGGTTAATTTTCTCCCTTGTCATCTTAATAAATATGGTTTTATTTTGAATATATTTTTATTTACATGATCCAAAGCCCTCTTTTTTTTACAATATTTGTATAAACACAAATTAGTAGAAAATATAATGAATCCATTTTATTATTCTGAGTTCTCACTAGCTACTTACAGCTTTTAGTATGTTAAAACCGAAATTATCATAAAAAATTGATTTATAATTATGAATGTGAATAGAGATAGATATATGTATCGCAATGTTTCGAAGTTTCTAATTAAGGTAATGAGGTCATAAAATAAATGTTACAGATCTATAAATTGTGAGAGGAAAAGCTCTAGAATGTCGAATCAGAGCTTAGCAATCAAATGGTTGACAAACTTCACACTCTTGTATAATAAAGTTAACAAGGTACTAAGGAATAATATAAGCTGAAATTAGTCAACTATAATCAAAATTATGAATTCACTAATTCAGAAAATGATGTGATGAACAGGTGAGGAAGAATTGAGGATAAAGAAATATGCAATAAAATGAATGTAATATTACGAGAGTAAAGGAAGATTTCTTACTGTTTCTAGACTGTTAATAGCCAAATGTCGACAAATGTCACTAACCAGAACCTCGATTGTTTGTTGAAAGACTTCAGCACATCCATTTCTTGTTCTGCATCAAAACGATGTCTTCAAATTACACTACTGAATAACTTTACTCTACTTGACAACTGTCATTTTGGAATATGTTCTCTGAATCAAACGTAGGCGTTTCTTTCTGTCTTGCAGACATCTACAATTCTATGTACATAGCTGACAGGAACATGAAAGGTATACCACAGTCCAGTAGAAATATCTTCCCCGGAATCCTAATCAGTGACGTAAAAAAATATGTTCAAACTGGTTGTTAGTTATAATTTTCTGACATTCATAGTTATCAATTGTTCAAGATTTAATCAATACAGAATCCTAATTCTAATTTCAAGCATTTCATGTTCTTATCAAAGGAAAAAAACGCAGATAGCACAAAAACAAACCGTAGAAAAACATTCCCACACTTAATGGATTTTTCGACTCTATTATCTGAAAAAAAATTAAAATGTTTTAACAATGTTTAACCATTTACGGTATTTTTATTCACGTCAACTGATTTTATCATGACCGCCTATTGTCCCAGGCATTTGATTTGCTTAGAAAAAAAACAAATTCTCGTGGAAAGATTCGAGTAGATAGGCTGTGAAAATCTTACATATGAAGCTTAACTTATAGTGACAACGACAATGACAGTGAACTATTATTCAGTTAGAATAACAATAAATTTTTTATACATTTGAAATCATTAATCAATCATTGTTAGACCAACATTAGAAACCTGAAAGCACTGAACGACCGTTTTGTCCTGGTATGGGACTCATTACGACTCTTGCACCACGCAGGACTCAAGCCCGGGACCTTCGGTCTTGTGCGTGAACGCCTAAGCTCTGGACTACTTGGCCGGCATTCAACGGTGTTAAGGTCTAACTCTGATTGATCTAGGGACGAATCAACCGTCCAGTGCTTCCAGGTTTCTAATGCTGGTCTAACAATCGTTGATTGATGATTTCAAATGTGGGAAAAACACTAATATCAATAACTATAATTGAAAATATAATGTGTAATTATCAGTGTGTCGAACATTTGGTTGAGATATCATAAACCAAACATTATTTTTCTTACAGACAGTCTACTCAGTGGTCAGGTTATCACAAACTAACAAATCAAACCTCACTAATGATTCCAAATTTTCAATTCGCTCATATTTATGGACGGAAGTATGCTGCTTATGAACCCTGAGAAAGTGTTGTACGACAAGTACTTACTGTACTATAGAAAATGTTTGTAAAGACACTAGTTTTCTATTTAGATAATAAAGTAAGGAAATTTGAAAATATAGCAGCCTAAACAAAAAGTTAAGTGTTCGGATTTTCAAAAAAGGGTTGTAGAATTTAGAAACTCCGAGTACTTTTGCTTGCAATATATTCTAAACTAAACAGAATACTAGTTTTTGTAAACAGTGTTGGCTCAATTTAACACTGAATAACGTTTCATGTTAAAATGCCGTTGATTCTCTGTATGTACTAACGTTACCAAGCTAAAGATACAACTAAGAAGCGATTCATGCTCAGATAGTCTTGCTAAACATCAAACTTCGAATAGTATGGTGGAGCAACTGAAATTTATTATGGAAACAAGACAAATATTGGCCGGATAATTTAAAAATAAATTACTTGGATTTACATCTCACTGATGTTACTCTATTGATTAACTGTTACGGCAAGTAAAACAGTGATCTTTTCGATTGGAAAACGAATTTCTTTAAAGAGTGATACTTTGCACAGGCACAAAAATCGAAGGTTCAGAGAACAGATTTCAAGATTTTTTATTGTATTTTTAGGATATACTCATTTTATGCCTAATTTTCATTGAGAAAACGTCTTTCCCAATAGGGTTTCAGCAACTTAAACGTTTTCCGTGACATACAAAGATAAACAGATCATACAGCAGTCACATTTGAATTTATAAAATCACGAGGAATGATATGAATTGAAGATCAGATTAGATCATTTTTGTGACTAGTTTTATTCGGGGAAATTTCAATGCTTAGCTTCATAATAAATACAAGAAATGTGAACCAAGTTTAGAATGTCGACTGTTTTTCAACGAAGCAGACTTATAGAAAATAAGTAACTTATTTTCAATTTTGACTTTTGTATAACGGCATGATTACACTAGTTATTCTAAATATTTCAAAACATTCCATGTATTGCACATTTCAGACATATAAGAACAAACACAGTATTTTTATCAATAAACTTTAATATATTTTCTGATGTTCAAAGGTTACTTATTTGCTTGAAGACTGTCAGTGAATTTTGCCTATCTAATAATTTACTGAAAGACTCAGATCGTCATTTTATCCTAGACGAGTTTACTAAAAGAGTGCTCATTATAAAAAACCACCGGTGTTAATTAGCAACAATTTTTATACTAAAGATGTATCAATATTGTACAAATATTTCTCAGAAACCTTTTCAAAATGAAGTTTTGGCTAGAATAACACTTCGTATTCCTACCGAATGTTTTGTATCCCTGGAAGCATAAAATTGTCATGAAACCAAAAGTTTGTAGTCATAGTCAGATAACATAATTTAAAATCTAAAAATTTGTTATGATACTTAAAATGTTTCTGTCAAGAATTACTATTCGGTATGCTTTTTAAAAATAGTTTTTTAATATCTATGAGCAATATGAACAAACTACAGAAACTTGCTATCACTAGTATTCAGCATTACTTTCAAACTACTAAATCTAATCGAGGGTACTGCACTAGTTTATAAGCAGATTTAATTTATGCCATTTTATCATTTTACCTAGGGACATGAAATGCTCTTTATGAAAAAGAGAGAATTCATAAACGCTTACATAACTATCATGCAAGGGTAATGATGGTTTTTTTCAGACATTTTTCCAGTACGTGATGTCTATAATTCTCTGATTTTTATTTATTTGCATATATAAAATTAGATGATGCCTTGAAGCTTTCGTAATGGTAAACAGAAAATAACTTGAAGTAGTCCAACAATGAACACCATTGAAGCAGATCCGAATTATCAATTATTTTATGGTTTCAACGATCCAGAAGGACAGAATATTGCACTATCCGCTACTAGTATTATTAAACCAATTCCAAATCAGAAAGAATTATTTCTTTTTGACAAAACATCACGTACAACCGGATATGGGGGATTAGTGTCAGCGAGACAGTTACATTTCATCTGTGGACCTTATCCGGAATCAATAGCCGATGAAAATGTTATGTTCGACAAGATTACACAAACAATTATCTTACCGATCTTATTAATTATGCTGATTTTATTCAATAGTTTATCATTTGTTGTTTTAACCAGACCGACCATGAAAACACCTGTATTTACAGTATTATTAGGCATAACAGTAGTGGAAATGTCTAATGGTTTACTACCTTTACCAATGTATTTACTCAAAGCATTTTATGGTGATTCTGTTTGGTGGGAGTATAACAAACATACATTATATAATCTGACACAAATTTCAAAATGGTGGAAGTATGCTCCATTACAGATTTATCAAACAAGTTCAAATCCTACAGCAAGTGGAACACTTGCATGGACTACAGTATTTCTTCCAACTGTTTGTCATACAACAGCTACTTGGTTAACAATATTTGTCGCAATACAACGACTTATCTACATAACATATCCTAATAAAGCTACAAGACTGTTTTCCATATTAAAAGTACGTTTTGTCTGTGTTATTGTATTAGTATGTGCGTTAACTTTACACATTCCAATGTTTCAGTCGACTTTTGTCAGATTTCAACCACTTCTTCTACATGAAAATGTTACATTTAGAAATTATTCAGTTGATTTTAAACAAATCTTATTATATGAAGCATTGGATTATCTACCGTACATTGTAATGAAATGTCATACATGTTTACCTATTCACATGTTTATGTATTTTTTAGTTCGTGTTATACTTGTACATTTACTGCCTTGTTTACTATTAATTATATTGACAATAATAATCATAGTGAAAATGCGACAGATTAATCAGAAGCATTTATATCTTACTCGAGGTAAATTATTACTAGAATTCTCTAAAACAGTACCAACATACAAACGAACCAAATCTCATTCATTACCTATAAGTTATAAACAAACTACATCACCAGAAATAAACAATATTTCAAGACAAGATTTGATTGCTGTCGAACAAGTAAATCAACTCATTGATCATGAAGTGAAAAGCAAATTCACTTGTTTCAATTGTCTCATTACAAATAAAATGAATACCATATATAATGATGAACAAGATTTTCGTGATTTGCAATTGAATATGCGTCATAAAAATTCCACACTATCGATTTTATTCAATGATCATGTGAATAATGACCAATGCCATGAGAATAATTTACATTTCACACCAGTAAGACGTAAATCTCAAGTCGCTGAATTTTTTAACATTTCAAATATGCTCGTTGTGATATTGATCAAATTCATTTTAATTCATCTACCTAATGCTTTAGTGATTTTTGTTTATACACTGACATTAATGCAAAATAGAATCTATGAATTTACTAGTAATAATAGTGATTTGGCTATCAGTTCTAGTAGTAGTACAGGAGCAAGCGTATCAGTGCAGAAAAATGTCAATCAAACAATTTTATTACCATACACAGTGATGGAATTTGTCAATGAACTACACAGTGCCAATACAATGATTTATGTAGATGAGGCACCGACAAAATTAATATGGATGAGAGTTGTGATAATTTGTAATCTTTTAATATTATGTTCATATCTATTGAATTTTTTAATATTTTGGACAATGTCAACACCATTTCGAATACAATTTAATAACTTATTTAAATGTAAATCTTTGAGATTGTTAGGTGCTAAAGCTTAAACTTCACTAGTTATTATGCCTTGATTGATGCTTGTCTCTATGTATATTCTGTTGTAAAAAAAAGTGTTAACTTATTCAGCAAGAGATTTCCATATTAAAAAAATATTCGAATTATCTAATCGGACATTTTTTTTATATTCATTTATCGCTCTTGTGTAAGTTGTGTTTTAATCTATTCGTGCTTTATATCAAATACTGTAATCAACCACCAATCGTCACTGACTTGAAGTTGTACAGCACAGAGTTCAGATGGCCGGTTTTCAAACTCGTATTAACATTGTCAAGAATTTTAAAACGTTTTTATCGGTAAAAATCACTTCGACATCAACTGTTAGCTAATTGAAATATAAGGAAGTTATTCGATTTTTTTCCGAAAATGTGCATATACAGGAAAGCATGTTGCATATTTAACAAATAACTTGTAAGAATTAGGTGCGTTTAATTATCTGACAATAAGAAATTAGTATTTATAAGGAATGCCTTGCTTTGATTGTCTAACTACTTTTTGAAACTTCAAACTAATAAGTGACTTCGGAATATGCAGTGATACAAAGAGATCACTTCTAAACTTATACTTTAGACCTTTCTCTATTGCATCATTTTTAACCAGAATATCAATGTTGAAGTAAGTATAAAGCCAGAATATCACTGTCTCATTCATCAAATCGCTGCATGGTATAGTTGCATCTACTGACTTGTTGTTCAGTTATTATTCTTCTGTATTCTCATAAATGAATGATGGTATCAGTTATATAATGAAATACGGCAATAACTAATAACCACTACATCATTCCTTTCTGTTGACTGTTCTCTTCTCAGTGAATGAAACTTTCATTTGTTCGACAGAGATACTTTTTGTAAACTTAATTCAAGAAGTTGGGCGATCTAATTACATTTGTAATAAAAATGTCTTTTATTAACTCATTTATGAGGAGTGTGACGTGATATTGAAGTTATGTCCGCATAAGCGTTTCGCTCCACAGTGAGCTGATGCTGACACTAGATAAAAGTAGAAAAGTAAGTTAATTTAACTAGTATATAAGCGGACATTCACGTTGCCATACGCACGAACACACAACAAAACAAAATTGGTTTTATCAAACGGTTAGCATTAGTCTTTGTCATTTTTCTTGGAATTATTTGAGTGTATTACTTCCTTGAATATCATCAGTTGGTTATAAATAACTTTGGATAATACCCACCGCCAAATCGTGTGTATTTTTTCTGATACATTCGTATTTAAAATACTACAATATCAGCATAGTTTTACTGTCAATATTATTGGCTTCAAATAAGTCACTGACTTGAAATAAACATGATGGAAAAGTGTTGAATGATTCTTACAGTTAAAAAATCCCTTCCTAAATCGAGGCTAAACAAAACTGTACAGAATACCTTTCTGAACGACTGCTAAAACACTTTCTTGAAGGACCTTTATATATGGAAATAATGTTAGGTAAGTCCTAATAATTTAACTGGAATTCACTGATACTGTTTTGAAATAATGTTCGTAACGCCAATCAAAATATAAATTTCAATTTTTCTCCCAATAAAATGTGTTCTATAGTTCTAAACATTTAATAGGTGCAAATATATGATATAGATGTGAATTATCTACATTTCGCGTGTAAACTATTTAAACTTTAAACAAACATTATATCATTTGCTTTACAAAGTATTTTTAAAAAGAATAAAGCTAAATCTTAAGACAAGTCAAACCGTGTAACAGATTAAGATGTACTCTGACTAAAGACTCGAAGAAGCATTTGTTTCCATTTTTTTAAAACTTGTTGGTGAGAAGAAAAGTTGAATAGATATTTGTTGAGAAAAAGTGTATCATTGATATTTTCTTAGAATTTCTATTGCCAAGAGCGAACTGTACGTTTCTTGGAAAGAAAATATTCGAACTTTGATAAATTCCGTCCTTTCAAATATTAGATTTTCATTAATTGTTGACATCAATTAGACTGAAAATAATACATTTCATCAAAAAACGTGCTCGAGTACTGAAATCCATATTGGTAAGAGTGTGACGACAAGTATGTCAGTAATTCAGTGTGTCGATGTTACATGTGCGAACAGTTTCTCTTAAATAGGCCTAGAAGTAAATGCACGTGATGAAACTATGATTTTTATAATAAATGATACAGTAAATGGGATCTATGAAACGTGTATAAAAATTACACTAATTTAATGTCACTAACCTTTGAAAAATTGTTTAGAAACATGTCGATAACATTATAAGCTTCATACGAGTGTGACAAAAATATCAAACTTTCAAAGAACATCTCATAGAGGATGAAACTAAAGAGCTAATACATTCCCTAAAATGTGGTTAACCTACATTGATTGTGAAGCTCTCAGATAAATATTACGTAAAATTTGAGTTAGATTACTTCAAATTTTTTCACTTAAGTTTTGTTGTCGTTAAAATGTTCAAATCTGACAGACAAATTTACATTTACTTACCGGTTGAACTTGTTTGATCTTTTTGACTCAAAAAAGTGATATTTACTGACGTAACATTTTATTTTAGTCCGAAAATGCCTTAAAGCTTTTTTTCAATTTCACTTAACAATGTTTCTATGTTCATTTATATAGTCTTGCTTAATTTTGTCATAGACATGCTCTTAGAAATAACCTTATCCTCGTCTGAATATTCAGGAGTGGACATTCTACCAGGAAAATTGCTCGCTGACTTAGAATATGCCGATGACATATTTCTTTTCCGTGAAGACATTGACAAAATGCAGAGTCTTCTGACAACCCTAAACAACAATGCAAGCATGTTCGAGATGCGGTTTTCCCCGTCAAAATGCAAAATGTTGCTTCAAGACTGAGTTTCATCGACACCTGAACTAGTGATAGGGAGTGAAGTAGTCGAGCGTGTAGACCGCTTCACTTATCTCGGGGGAATCATCAGTGCCGATGGCCTGGTGAATGACGAAAACTCAGCTCGGATACAGAAGTCTCGATTGGCTTTTGCCAACCTGCGTTACTTATGGCGTAGGCCAGATATCCGTTTGCTGACTAAAGGAAGAGTGTACTGTGCAGTGGTTCGCTCCGACTTACTTTATGGCTGTGAAACGTGCCCAGTGAGAGTAGAAGATATTCTTATGTTATTGGTTTTCAATCATCGGTGTCTTCGAAGAATTGCTCGTTTATCCTGAGACAACCGAGTGAGCAATGCTGTTATTAGGAAACGGGTGCAATGTAAGGATGGTATATCAATAGATGAAGTAGTGAAACTTCGTCAGTTGAGGTGGTTAGGACATGCGTTACGTATGCCTAACCACCGACTGCCTCGACGAGCTTTGTTTTGTAGTTAAAGAATAGGTTGGAAGAAAGTTAGGGGCGGCCAAACCAAAACATGGGACAAATCCATGAAGTCACTGACAAGTGGACTGAGTCATGTCGGTAGGTGTTGACTACCTGGTTGGGGTCCGCGAGACGTTAGTAGTGGATGGTTAGAGCCCATGAATGACATGGCTCAGAACCGTTTGCAATGATGCAAGTGCATTTACTCTTTGTGTTCTGTCAAATTCTAATTTTCTGAATTCCTCATCATTTCTATCTTTCTCTTTCTCAAGTTATCTCACTGAATTATACCCTAATCTTCTCCATTACTGTTAATACTTCTACTATCGCTACCACTATGTGATTTGAACTGACAGTTGCCTCCCTGTGCAAATGTGGTATGGCAACCTGAACTGATGTACTTACGTACGGAGTTCTGTGTCGAATCTCTCTGTATATCTGCCTTATTACCAACCAATCTAATATTATCGTTTATAATATTGTTTCTTTTCCGACCATAGAAAATGCTCATCACTTTATATTTTATTGTTTTACAATCAGTTGTGTAAATACTTCATTATTATTGTTCCAAAATTATTAATATTTACGTCACTTTTTACGTCCATCAATATTTTCTTAATAATTTGATTTAGTACGTTCATGTTCTTGTTTTATTTCCAACCAAATAAAAGTAACTGAAATATATCAGATCAGACGTAATCTATGTAATTTCGGAAAACATTCAAAATAATTTTATTCAGTTTTATTTAGATCACAGATCAACAGAAAATATGATTTATTTATGTAGCTTCTCACTTTTTGAAAGAAAAATTATCTGCATGCTTACCCACTTACATTCATGTTTACGAACATAAGAATCTGAGAGTCAGAGCCAGTGAATCAAATTTTAATAACACATATTTTAACTGATGAAGAAGCCAGACCTTAAACTTTGTTTGAAATGATCAGCAAGTAAAAGAACTCGGAAGTTGCTGATCTTCGAAGTCGAAACAATATAAATTGTGTAAAACAAACAACTTGTAATCATTATTACTTTCAATAGAATACAATCCAATCATCCACATCATTCGAATTTGAACAGTAGTATAATCAGTGATTAAAAACATATTTCTTATCAGTATTTTGTTCTCTGAATGGTTAATTATTTAAAATTCCTGAATTTTACCACAACATGGACATTTTATTCCTCACTTACAAATAACGCACTTTTTCTATTTCCTATGCTTCATGCTGTGGTTTCATTCATTTATATAGTGTTAGAAATAAACGTAATTAATATTTAAACATTATGCACAATCAAAGTGAGAATTCATTCGTTAATATTGAAAAAGCAAATTATTTTAAAAAGGTAGTCATAAAAGTGTTGAATGTTCAACAGTTTAAGTTGTCCAGACGATCAAAAAAACATTATCACACTCAGTAAACCTTTCTCAAGAAATTAGTCTCATTTTTACAAATTTTTAAATTAAGTTTATCTAATTTGTATTTTTTTTCTCTCGATTAAATGTCAATTTGATGAGTATAAAAACGAAGAAAAACTTTCCTGTCTGGGTAAAAATATGCAATGTGTTAATATTTCACATCAAAATTATTGTCAGATGATGTCTGAGTAGAAATAATAATTAATTAAAATGGAAGTTGTTGTCTTAATAGTGGCAATTTATTTAAAACCAAAATTTCAATTTAACAGAATAATTCACTTCATATATAATTGTACAGACGAAATGGATAATGTTTCAAACTCAAAGTACAAATAAAACAGCGACTCTTAAGTTCAGTTATTCA